ATAAAAAGCAACCTTCGTAGTTGCTCTACTCCAACGAGTTCTCTATTGCAGTGAACGTAAATGATATGTCTTGAATTTATCTTCAGATGCATCAGAATTTATAAGATATATTATATTTTCAGCAATTAAACTGTATGAAATTAATACTTTATCTTATGATTTAAATTGTATATATAATGGACGTTTTTTGCCTTAAAACTGAATTTATGTTTCATTCATATTAATATTCATTATATGCGCATAATAAGTTGAATTTTTTTAGAAATAAAAATAGGTCATGTACATCACAATTTAAGTGCAGCTTGAAATTCTTTCAAAAATAAATCCGTGAGAATTTTATAGGAAACAAATTCTTTCCAATGTATTTCCGCATTCGGTGTTCAGAATTTACATTTGGCGCATTACGCAGTCAAAAGTAATAATATTGTTTCTAATTTATAAGAAAAATATTTCGTTTTTCAGGCATTAAATTACTCAATTATTTTAATTATTATGCATGTTTTAAGATAAATATTTTTGTCTGACATTCTTTAAATATGTTTCGAATTTATTAAAGGTTTATTTAGATGTTTTAATTAAAAATTCCGTTTTATTGAGCATAAAAAGTGCCGATTTAGATTGACGTTTTTCTTTCAAAAATTTAGTTTAAGAGTTTTAATAAAATTCACCTTTAATAAATAAATATCTTATGATATTTTTAATCGATTACAGATACACGTCATCTTATAGCAGATTATCAAATTAGAATTCAATCATTTATGTTCAATGAAAGTGCTTTCTAATTTCAAATTTCGAAATTATAATTTCTTTGGGGTAATTTTTCATCTATCCAATCGATTAGATAAACGCAGAATTATCGGGACGCTTCGATACGTGTTCTGCCTAAGACGAGAAGGAGATGAGATATTTTCTTTTAGAATAAAAGGTGTTTCAAAAAACGTATTCTGAATAATGAGGCTGATTTGATTTTATAATGCTCTTCAGCGATTTCAGATTTTTTCCGTTCTTATGTTATTTTGTAAGAATGAAGTGCACAGAATCCAACATTAAGTGCATAAATTTCAAATGTTCCATTGCTTAAAAAGTATCGATGTTATTAAATAATGAAGAATCTATGTATGCATGTTCCTCACATTTTGGAAAAAAGGTGCCGAACTTTCAATACAAATAATAACTTCACCCAAACATGAGCATCTCAAAGCGCGAAATTTGAATTTCAAACTTTTTAACCCAAACGGCTGTTATAGTCTAAAAACGGCATTTTAAGTTGAATCATTAAAAGCGTTATATCACTTTTCAAATTGTTGCCACCAAGTATTATCGACCTGCATTATATTTAAAGAAAAATCTGCATAAATGTATGTATGTTTCCGGAATTGGGAAAAACCAACAGTATCTAGAGCCATGAAACTTTGAATAACGTAGTCTTCTACTCAAATATGAGCATCTGGAAGCTTGAATTTGGAATCTGGAGTTTGCTTTATTGCATATTTTATATTTTGTAAATCTTTAACGAATTTTTGATTTAAATAACTCAAAGATTTCGAAGTGAGCAATGGCAACATTGTACGGGAAAAAACACTTTTATCTCCAACGCGCGAGATTGTCTATCGGAAATTCTAAAGATATGCTGTTTTTAAATATTTTTAGTCTAAAAGGGCATTACCCCAAATGCTCTCGAAACGTGTATGTGTGCAAATGAAAAATATGTCACTCTGGGCGTAATATAAAATGTGAAAGTTTTCAGAATTTTTAAATTATTTATTTCATGTTTTGTGCGCAATTAATTACATTTTGATTGACAAACTCAAAAATCTGAAAGCAGTACGTTATCGCTCCAGAAAAGCGTAAAATATTTATATTTCAACCAATAACCAGGAAACTCGTCAGTTTAACGAAAATTTGTTGCCACTTCCTTAAATAAGATACTTTCACGTGCCAATGCATTGCCATTCCGCAAAGCATAAGATATTGAAATTTTACTTTCAAATCTTTGTTATTAATCAACAGACTGTGCGATTTAAAGGCAACAACCGCATTTTTAATTTCTATTATTATTAATCACTAACTAGACCCAACATATTACACTACCTGTACACATTAAAATCATTTATGTTTTTTCTTTTTTATAATAACTGTTTGACGCAACTGGCCGCTGTTCTAGTGTTAATTAAGACGAAGTAAATTCTTTTGAACAAAGCATAAGTGGTTTCCGTGAAAGCTGAAATAAAATTTTATTGGTCTATGGATAAAATTTATAAATAGCAAAGAAGAGAGAGAAGCAGATCTGCGATAAAAAAAGATCAAAATTTTTTATTTCAACAAAATGTAACAATGTAGCCACAAGTGTTTCAAAATAGAATAAAACGAAAAAATGCGTATAAAAGAAAAGCAGTTCCATTTCCACTGAAAAGATCGGATTCGTTTTCTCAGTAAAATGTTATCTCTGGCTAAATATAGGAATTTACCAGGAAAAACTTTCTTTCATCTAACAAAATTTTATTTTTAAGTTAAGCTAATTCCGTACCAAGTTAAATATCGATTTACATTCTTTTTATGCCGAAAATTACTTCTCTTTCTGTTATTTAGGGAAAAAAAATTTTTCTTAGAACATCTGCAAAATACGTTGACTGGCGCAGTGAAAGCTGATAAGCTGAAATTTAAATATGCTCTTAAGAGCTTATTCTCTTATTGGATTTCCGTAGCATTTAGAAATTTAGTCCTTGCGAAGCTTAAACAAAAAGATTTCATTGCTTTGTTGTAAATTAATTTAACTCATTACCACCTTTCCAGAGGGTAAACTTGTCTTTTACGTGTTTAATCTCCTGGAATTTTAAAGTTTTATGTTTATGTTCATGTACTATCTTATTGGTGATTGTCATACTAATGCCGAAAGACGGTTCAATCTCACGGTATGTCACATGCACGTTCTTGCTTTATCAGTTCACGCACAGCATCAATATTTTCTAGCACAGTAACCGAGGTAAAGGAAAAACTTTTGGACAACTTTCATGGAATTCGTTCTGAAGCGAACGGTCGACCACGACTGAATTCGTTATACCAGTTTTTACAGTGCTGATAAGCTGTTTTGAATCCCTAGATTGCGACATAGATAGGGTTATTCATAATTCCGTGACATACCTAAAATTTATGACAAATAATTGACGCAACAAATGCCAAATTTTGCCTACACAGGCACATTCACCAAGGTAATTTTTATATATTTCCCATAGACTCCATGTGCCTACCTTTGCTTATATGGTGGACATCCATCAACATTTTGTTCCTCATACATACCAATATATTCCAATAAACAAAAGCCAGAACGTCGGTGGCAGGTTATAAAGAACCTGTACGGGGAGTAGAGATACTAAGAAAATATCCTTGATAAATGCAGTCAAGAAAACATCAAAAGAGAAAATGTGAAGATCAATGGGTTCACAGCAGTAACGCATCATGCGGGCATAGTATTCACCTCGGTAAATTTTGATTAAGATACTTTCATAAATGACATTTGTCTCTGTAGTAAATTTTGATTAAGATACTTCCGTAGACTGGCTTGATAATGGTATGTATGGCAATGAACCAAATAATTGTTTTGTTAAAAGAAGTAACCATCATTGTTTTCTTTCATCTGTGGCACTAGACAGCGTTCCAGAATATACAAGTAAATCCTCTCAATGATGCGAAGATGTCTACTGTGTGAACATAGTGGATACAATGAGCAATAATGAAACACGAAAGGAAAACATAGTAAGTTTACCTCTGTTTCAGAGCAATAAAATTTAATACAAGTTGCGTGGTTTATTTGTTATGAATTTTTTAAATGATAAACGAACGAGGTAATAACCTATATATAAAACACTTCATAAATTACTGATTTAATACTGAATCAAATCTGTACAGTTTCTTCAGCTGCCGGCTAGATCATGAATCTTGACATGTTATTATCTCAGACACCCTTAGTAAAGGGATATCTAGGAACTAAAGATACCCACATATGCAGTTCATCTTACTCTCCTGATTAAAGCTTCATTTATCACAAAAATAAGATAAGAGAAGTTTTACGAGATCTTCAGTAATTTTTCTGGACTTTCAGACAAGAGAAGCACGGCATCACAATTCCATATCCCCGCAGATCGCAAGCTTCCAAGAACAGTTTGAAACTTAATACAATTTAATCAAGTTGGTTCATTCGCAAGTGACTAGTCAAAGCACATCAGGATTATCTGCTTTAGAAAAATGTGTAAGGAAACCCGCTGTTATTTACGTTACGCGAGGAGAAAACCGCGAAAACTCACGTGAGCGACATTTTGCAGGAAATCGAACTACCAGTGTTTAGTGGTTTTAAAATATACTTGCCCAGTATTTGGCACCAAAGGTGATCAAGAACATTTTTGGGATTTTGTATTGTTTACATTTAATAATCTTCATTAATAGTTAAGTTTAATGTGTAAAATTCAATAATCTTGTTTTGAATGTTCTTAATGATCTGTTGCACCTGTCGGTCTGGCAGACATACTTGCAGCCTATTCAAATATTTCTTCAATATCTTTGGTTTTATTTTGAGAAATAAGAATTTCATTCTGAGTCTATAGAAAGTATTTCACAGTCTTCAAGATACAAGATCTAAAATAATGTTATCTTTAGTTTTTAACTTAAGTGCATAGTTAAAATGCGTACTTTATTTATAATATTCTTATACGTTTTACATAGTTCTTTTTCTGGGTTTCAATGCTTTAAGTCTTAATCATTACCGAAATTTTATTTTAGCATGCAATTTTCCGTGACATCTTTACATTTTAAATGACTGTGAAGTTAAGTGACACCGAATTTGATTTTGATTTTATTCAAATTTTAAGTATCTCGAATTGTTTAATTCGAGCTAAATCCATATTAAATTGTAAAGGAAGAAAACCTATATTTACTTTTACTAAACTGCTTTAAATTTTTGTATAAAATATTAATATCTATATGATGAAATCATATATTAGACTTACCAAATTGTTTCTTGAGATGAACCTGTAAGAAAACAATACAACACACTGAGTTTTTTAGCGAATGAAATACAAGTTTAAATTATTTCTTTTATAAAATACTTAAGATTGCATATTTTAAAAGTTAGCTTACCTGGAGGACCTCTTGATCTCGTATTCGGACGTGAGTCGTCAACCTGTAAAGAAGTATTAAAACTCTTGGGAATAAAGCAAAAGTTATGATTGGCGATATCTTTTGATATTACACTGTGATGATGAAACATTAGTTGGTTAGATCAAAATACAGGAATTGATAATAGTGCACAAATCTAGATATGAGCTATTTTAAAACTTAATTTTATTAATTCATCGAAAGATTAAAAGTATTACAATAATAAATTATTATGAAAATATTGTTTTCAGTATTTTGTACTAAAATGTAAAATTTAAGGATGGCATTATTATGCTCTATTTTCTTTTAACTGTTACAGCTATGTACAAGATTGAAAATTTGAAGATAAAATAGCTGAAGATTAGAAATGTTAGTTAGCAGAGGAGTTGGATTCCTAATGATAATCTCATTTAAACTTATCCAGAAGAAGCAAAGTGGGTAATTAACATATATTTTGGAAATGCAAATGTAATTATGATGCCTAGACAACCACCTTTAAGAGATTACATGCAATGCGACACAGTGAATTTGTAAGTTTTGCTGTTGATATGACAAAAGCTTTCCACACATTTTTGAATGCACAAACACTTTTTGTTTGTAAAAATTTTTTATTTGTAAACATTTTTGATTGCACAAATGATTGATTTTAAAGGAGTATAAAATATTAATGAGCAACAGCTTACACTGAGAGATAGTTTTTTTTGTTTCATTCAAACTTTCATTCAAACCTCAAACTTGTTATAAGCCAAAATAAAAGCTCATATAAATATATTATTAATAGAAGATTACAGTTTTTGCACTTTTTGTTGAAAAATATTCTACTATTTTCAATACGAAAATGATGTAGAAATCTTAGAGTAGTGATTCAAAGGAACAATAACCAATACCTTCATAACGAAATCAAAATCCTTACAGAATGTCAAATATTTATCCAATAAAAGTGCATACGCCAAAAATATTTCCAAAATTAAATCTATAATCCTAAAAGAAGACCATTTCATTCAATGGAAAACATCATCATAAGCCTTTAAAATGTGTGCTTCTACTGTGAATAAAAATAAATAAAGATTTATAGATAAAAAAGAAAACAATTCAGTGTTCATAATCTTCCTCTGAGAAATATAGCAAAGGGTAAAGCTAAATATAGATTCCTTCACGAGAACAACAAAAGTAAAAATTTATTTCATTGTGTGAGATGAATTGTAGATGAATCAGAGCTATATCTGAATGACTACAACAGAAAGGGGCAATTTACTATCATGAAAGTGGACAGAAAGACTTGAAAACTTGGTTTCGAGTGTCTAAATAAAGTTTCAATAAAGCTTTATGATTATAATTCAGTTCTACATATAATGGAAAACTGAAATTAGGAAGAGTCGGAGAATGTAAAAATAAATTCTATAAAGTAGCAACTTACTCCTTCCTATAGATAGTCTGAAGCGCTGGTGCTAAAGAAGTACTGCACTTCAAAAAACGTTAGTGCTCTTGTCTTCCCTCAACTATCAACTAATCATTATTCATTAAATAATAATTATTAAGCTGCATAATTTCTATATTAATGTGTTGCGCAAGAGTTAATGTAAATGAAATGTTGTTGCTTAATTTTTCCACAGTCTCCTAAGTAAATCTTTCTCCGTATTTAGATTATTTTAACGTGAATTAAAATTTCAAATTTTGTTGGATGTAAATTAACAAATTCTTAAAACTAAGTAATTTGGCATTCACTTGACTAAAATGAAACTAGCTTCAGATCTGTGACTCAATTTAATATTTTTCTGGTAGTTTGAAGTTAAAAAAACTTACCGGTTAAACTGACAAGTAAATAACAAAATATTTGCTTGCAGACATGTCGGTTAAAATTTTTAATTCCCAAGTTTGCTTAATTTCTCCAAGAAACATTTAAGTTGCTCTTAGCATTGGATACTGGTATGAAAATTTATGAGGCTGAAAAATGGAGTATGACGTGAAAATTAACCAATTTATTTCTTCAAGAATTAAAAATCTTATAATTTTCAATCGAGTATCCGCAATTTTGTGAACGTCATTGTTAAATACGAATTTCATTTTGTAAGGATATTATTTAAATTAATCAGTTATTACGATTTTGGTCTTTACTATCTCTTCTCCTTTCCGTTTTCCACGAGAGTGTAAATTAATTAGCCAGCATTTAAAAGGTGTTTGGATTTTAAGACAGAGCATGTTTCTGGCTTCGTGCGCACGCTTAGTATTAGTTTCCTGCCAGCTCTGATAGTTGTAATTATTCTGCTTTGCAACCTATCGCTGCTGACACTTTGGTTTTGACTCTCCGAATAGAGGTACTCAGCCAGCTTATACTAATATTTAATTCTGTAGTCTTTGACTGCTGTTCCAGGTTTGATTAAAATTTGACTGTTCTATTCAGTTGCATTACCACAAGCTATGACTGATATTGTTGCGCAAGAGAGTGGGTTATGTTCTAAATTCTATTTAAATAAACCTTCTAGCGACTGTGTAGTTACTTCAGATATAGCGATAATTCGTTTTACGTCTGTTGTGGTTTTGGGCTACTTAATAATATCTTCATAACGAAATCAAAATGCAAGATCAGATCATGGAAATTATAATATTCTTACGTAATATATCCTCTGTTTTAGAAATAACGTCATCCAACCAGCTCTTCAGCCTAGTAATTAAGCGATATAATGACTAAGATGACATATATCAGAACAAAAGTGATCCGGTACATCCGGCTCTGCTTTGTCAAGAACACAAAGGGATTCTCGATAAAAGAGAGCTGGAATTTGGAGTACTTTCCTTGTATTATTTGACCTCAGAAAAGCGTATTTGCATGCAAAATGTAGATAAAAACCCAAATTTCCAAATTCATTAACAAAACTAAAATATCATAGAATTTTAAATGTACGATAAAATGCACAATACAAGATACTCTTGAAGAGCACCAGAAAGGGAAAACAATAAGGAGTGACTTGTAGTCAGTCACATAAGGCTTAAATAAGCACGGAAAAATAATATTTATTATATATGGAAAACACGGAAAAATAAATTTAATAATAATATATATATTAATATAATTAATATATATTAATATATACATATTTGTACCTCATTTGGAAGGAGAAAATAGAACTAAAAACAAAGATATTCATAGTGTTAAGAAAGTGAGATGCACGATACCTTAGAAATGCATTGCCTTCTAGGATAACCTTACATTGGATATAAAACTATTTAGACTATTAGGTAAGAAATTCGAAAAATCAGATTTTCTTTTACCAGAGTTCGAAACATGAACCTTCCAGCTGTTAAGTGGATGCATTTGCCACTTACACCTCAAGACGCAAGAGGATGCACAGAATAATAGCAAATCTTACATCATGAGTGAAATTACTGACATAATTGATGATTCAGCTTTGCGTATCTCTACTAAAGATCATTTTATGTGGCATTTATCCTGCCAAAATAAATATCTATATTACTTTTACTTGGCATTTATCCTACCAAAATATTTCACAAGTGAGTTTAAAGTACTTATGAAGCCACTAATAACAGATAGCTTATTTGTAATGTCCTCCAAATTTCGTTTTGTGAAATTTCTATTGAAATCCCATCTAGTAGCATTAATCCAACCAGTGAGGTAAAAGCTTTTAAACCACTTGGTGGCTGATGTGCGGCGGCTTTGCTTTTTATGTGCATATGTGCATATAGACTGGATACCTAGGAGATGATTGATTTTAATGATTGCACCACATGTTTTACTAATCATATGTTAGAAAGAAGATAAATAAAAGGAAAGGTATTTATTCCAAGAATATACGGAAAACTGGAACAATTCCCAGTTCGCGCACCCCAATAAAATGTGGGAATACCGAAAGGTAGAAAGATTGAAGCAACACAAAGAAGAGAAAAATAGAAAGCGAGCAAACAAAAGACGATCTGAAGACTAAATCTCGGAGGGAAAATGACTATCGAATAAGAAGATATTCTCAGAAGGTAAAATCGCAAAGGAATTGAAGCAGCGTGAACAGGAGTAAAATCAATAGCATGTATACATTTACTGAATACGTTTTATTAAAGGATTACAAGGGAGAAAAAGACCAAGACTAAGCATGTTAAGTATAAAACTTTGCTCTTTTCAATTCATCGATTAATAAACAAACTGATATTCCTGTTTTTTCAGCTATAATAATTTCATGTTTTCAGTTTTTCTGAAATTTACCTTTTAAATGGGTTTTCTCTATATATGATGTTTTCACGTTTCTTAATGTTTCTAGTAATCAAAAGTGCTTTGCTGATGTGTTTTTTTTATAGTGGAATGTTCTGGGTTTTATGGCCTTTTATTTATTATCATTTCATGGGTTTCCTGTAATGAAGTGTTCTTTGTGCAATGAAATACTTTTCCATTGGTATGAATATCACGTTGTTTAAAAAGAATGGCCAAACAAATTTTCAAAATTTAACCTGAATTAAATCTAGCGTAATAATTGTGCCTGCCAACACTTGTAGTCACGACTGAAAATTTCCCTAGAATGTTTTATTTGAAGTGTGTGAAGTATCCTCTGTTATTTTCTGTATCTTTTGTTGTGTCAAGAAAGAAAATTTTAGTTTAGATTTCAGATTAAGAACTTAAAGCAATGATCACAAGATACCACATTTGATGAACAGAATGAATGAGACGAACAGAATGAATGAGACAAGGATCATTTCTAATTACATGTCTGCCCAATCATGTTGCAACTTCAAAGTACTGTGGCTTCGTATATTGTCGTAATGAAGTATCAAGCTATAGTACCGCCATTCTTTCACCGATAAGGTTTCTTGAAATAAACATCTTATCTCAGCCTTAAATAAGCACAATAAAATTTCACTCTACATTTATTGACTGCTCGCCTTGTGGATAGCTAATGCTCCTTGACAATTTTTTTTATACTAAAAATAGTCATCAATGAAGATTTGTTTTACTTGTAACTTTCTTTTCTGGCTTTTCTGATGTTTAGCGAATTTGAAATTCTCTTCTGTGAGGCTTGTTACCTCAGCTCAGAATGTTAGTTATGAATTTTCATTTTCTGTGATGACTAGAAGAAGATTTTTAGACTGAATTTTAGTTGCAAAGGCTGAAATTTAATATGAGTATTTTTCGGCCACCAGAGTCGTCTGCATGTATGTGAGATCTTATTTCGCAACGCACAGTTCGCATGCACAGCTCGCAATTTGTTTTTGCATTCTTGCAAACGCTAACTGTAACTTTCACGCTTTGCTTTTTGCTGTGTTGTGTTTACAGTCCACTCGCATTGATGTATTTTAATGTTTATTAATTTAAATTTAAGATACCGCTACGCTACAGTATTCTTTGTTGAAAGAATTCAAGGATTTAGAACGTTATTAGGATTTAGAACGTTATTAGTATGTTTTTTGAGATATTTAAATACAAAATAACTCGATATAAAGATTCCTAGGGAACATACCAATAATAATTTAAGTACTGCATTCGGGATTTAAATAAAAAGTAAAACTACTCTGAAGTGAATACAGAGGAGATTTACTTGAAGACAGTTGTCAAATTGTATTTGGTCTAATACAAAATGGTCTACTGTTTTTTTCTAGCTACTGATGAAACCAATTGACGCATGAAAAATCTCTAAACTATTCATGCTTTGATCAATATCCTCAAAGTTTCATAAATTAATGAAATGCTGGAAAATCTGTTATTTAATAATACAGATAACAATAATATGAATACATAGCGTGATGATGCTCAAAACTTTCCCTTTAATATCACATTTAATGTAATCGCTTAAGTTAAAGCGAAACTTACAAGTAATATAAGGTTGTAAAGAGAATATTGTTCATGAATATTTTCTAATGATCATATATATTTTAATCCGGTGAGATTATTATTTAATCAAATATTAAGTAAAATCATATATAAGTAGAAACTACAAAGAATTCTATACTAAATGCTTATTTTACATAAGAATAATAGTCGAAATAAAACGCATCGTACGCAGCACGATTAATCTCCATACCAAACAAGTCTTTAAAAATATCAAAAGCGTAATATTTAATATTAATTTCTAAAAAAATGTATCTTTTAGTTACAGTGGTATCAAAATTAAAGGACGGTGAGAAAAAATGTACTCACAGAGCCAATGTTTCAACTAATGCTCAAATTCTGTAATTATTTATGTTAACTTAATACAATTTAACATAAGCCTGCATTTCATCGCATATGTTAGCGACGGAAATAAGCAAATTCGCTGATTGACAATGTGGTTTACAAGGACGTATGCTGGAATTTAGGTCTGTAGTGTTGTTTAAAGTGAATGTGGTTTTTGAAAGTGATCAGTATTCAGTAGTTATGGCTCAAAGGCATCACTTAAGTGAAGGTCAAAAGTGTCGAATAATTAGTGGAATCGATGGAGGTTAAACACAAATGGAGGTCGCCAAGATTTAAATGTTTCTCAAAATGTCATATTAAGAGTTTGCAGCCGCTTTTTGAGCACTGGATAAGGCTGGTCTAGGGCGACCAAGAACGACAACTGCATAGGAAGATTGTTTTCTGTTGTTGCCAGCTAGAAGAAAGAGATTTGGTTTTAGATCTTCAGGCTGCCACAGGAACTCGAATCAGCCGTTCTTAGCAAGGCTGAACTGTAGGCGAGAAAACCAATGATTTGTGTCCCACTCACTCCAGCTTCCACAGAACCACGTTTAAACTGATCCCGTCTTCGTGTTCTATGAAACCAAGTCGACTGGGCCAGAGTATTGTGTACTGACGAGTCGAGATATAGTTCTAACAGTGATTCTAGACATGTTATGATCCGGAGAGAGGAAGGAACATGCAGCTTTGCCTTCCCTTGTTAGTGAAACATCCCATTTACGTTTAATGGTTTGGGGAGAAGTCATGAAAAGTGGCCGCAGTGAGCTGCATATCTTTCAAACAGGTTCTGCAACCGCTCGGAGATATGTTGACCAAGTATTGGAACCACAAGTTAGATGGATTGTTTAGGGTACTGTTGGCCCAGAGCTTTTGTTAATGAATGACAATGCTCAGCCTCATCGAGCATATGTGATGTCAGAAGATATCCCTCGAATGGATTACCCACCTTACTCACCCGACGTGAAACCAATTGAGCATGTGTGGGATGCCTTAGGGCTCCAAATTCCTTCCCGGATCCCCAAGAAGCTGAAAATCTTTTAGAAGAATGGCATGCAATTCCACGAGACTTGATCAACACTTTGGTAAAGGTCAATGAAATCATGATGCGTTATATATATCTGTTCAAGGTGAATGTACACCATATTAAAGAAAACAGATTTCCATAAAAGGTGGTTTAATTTCTCCATCATTTTCCAATTTCCATAAATTTGGTTTTGGTGTCAATATGTTTCGAATAATCAGCTGCTAAACATTGTAATTTATGTTAACTAATGCTTTTGTACAAACTTTTATTAATAGTTTTTATTATGTATCAGTTGCGTTTCATTTCTTTCATTATCCTTTAATTTTTATGAACAGTTTATTTTAAAGTATAAAACATATTGTTTTACGTTTTAGTTTTAATAAATGGGCTATAATGTTAGCATGTCTTTTTTTACGTTGTCTAACACTATAGTGCCTATGACGCCTCATTTTGAAAGAATCGATGCCCTTTCAGATGCCATCGGTAAAAAAGTGTTCGCCATCTAGAGGAATGGAAGAGCATAAAATATATTGTTTTTCATTAAATGTCCTACTGTAAGTTGTTTCATAACCTACGCTCATAATAATGTTTCGAATTTAAGAAATATATTAAAAAGAAAAATCTAAATAGAGAAGTTACTGTAGAAATGAAGTGTATTTTAAGATTTTAATTAAAAGCTTGGGAAGAATTTATGGAAATAAATATTAGGAATGGGCCATTTTGAAGCGTAACATTTTCCTTAGCTTAATAAAATTTCGAGATTCGAAAATTCTAATATTCACGCATTGATTCGAATCTTTTGAATTAACTTAAGAACACGTTGAACTTTTTAACTCATAACTTTGCAAAGATTAGTTTTATTGATGTAGAAGTAATCCTTAAAAAATGTGGCGATTGTTTACAACTTCAGTTGAACACGATCACTATCTATCGTGTCGTTGCGAATATATTAATACTCTACTTTTAACTTTCATGATAGAATTTAACTTTGTATGTTTATTTTTTATCTATGCGAAGTATTGAAATAATTTTTCTTCTATAACACTAGCTTTTATTTTAAAAGATTTTGAAAAAGGAAAAGAATTATCCAAGCATTCCGTAGTTCTTAAGTTATGGTAAGAAATCGAACCTCAAGATTCAAGCGTTTTCTTTATTTATTTTCCTTTGTAAAATTCATTTTCCTTTCTGATCAATAGAGGTACTTTTTGAAAACAATATAAACTTGTTATTTATTATAAGCATATATGCTTTAATTAAGAGCTTTAATATTAAGGGAAAGCTGATTAAAAGGATTCTAGAACCTTTAGGTTTCGAATTCAAAAAAATTAGGACTCATCCCAGCTCTATAAAATATGATCAGCTCAACAAGTCTACTCTAATTCTTAACCACATTTTAACAACAAACTACAATTTTTGAAACTAGTGTATCTTTCAGAGCATCGAAAATAATACAGAAATATCTGTATTCATTTAATTAATTTTAATTATTGTATCAAAGCATAAGTACTAAAAATACTTTTAATTTCCTGTATTTACTCTTTAGGCGTAATAATGTGAATTACGTATGTAATATGTTTTAACTAGGCCTCCAGATATGATTATATGAAAACTTACCTTGCTCATTTATATGAAGTTGAGCCTAAAAGAAAATAAGGAAAAACTCAGATTAGGCAGCTGATGTGATAAAAAATTCACAAAAATTATTTTACACAAATAAAAATAAATTATTTTTAAAGTAACTTATTTATAAATATACTTTTAAATATAATTATATTTTTAAGCTCAATATTGCATTTACAGCATGCATATAAAATGTAAAAGGCTAACTGAAGCAGAATTTTAATTCTTGGGAAATTATAGCGCCCATAGCGATTGCACGATAAACACATTTAAGGCAAATAGATAGAACCACATTAAAAGTAAAGATAGCAAATATATAAAAGTTCGACTACCTTATCAGATTTTCAGTTTGAATTTTAGTTATGCAGAGAGATTGTTCTTTTTTTTAGGTGAAGTATAATAAAGTTATCGTTTATTTGTTAACATGTTTTTAATTCTTAATTTACTAATTAAGTCTCAATTAAGTACATACACATTATCTTAATTTCCGTTATCTGAATTTCGTATAGTTAGAAACTCCATCTATCTGTATCTTGTTTATCTTTTTAGGTGAAGCACAATTAAATGTTGTTAATTTATTTTCATGTTTCTAATTTATAATTTAACACTTATGTTTATGTAATAAGTATTAGAACATTAACTGTATTACTTCATGTAGGTAATATGTAATAAGTATTAGAACATTAACTGTATTACTTCATGTAGGTAATATGTAATAAGTATTAGAACATTAACTGTATTACTTCATGTAGGTAAAAAAAAATAGCGCTATCATGTAATTTTAATTCAGCAGAAGTAAGCTATGCGTTTTTTTTTTTTTTTTTTTTTTTTTTTTTTTTTTGTTTAAGCAAATAAGAAATAATTTCTTCGTTTAATTGTTGAATACTAAAAATAGAAAATATATATGTTTACTTTTAGATCCTATGTCAACGAAGACGAGAATTCTGTTGCTTATTTTTATTAAAATAAAATTGGACAAATAAAATGTAACTTAATTTTTTATACAAATAAAACACATTTTAGCTGTTTAATTTTGTCGAAAGTGATGTATTCTGTATTTCGAATTTCGGAAGAAAAATTGTTAATTTTTTAATCCCACAGTTTTGGTTAAAATAAAAGAATTATAAAAAGAAACTAAAGTTTCCTCATTTGCGTAACAGGAACTTGAAATTTGGCCTATAGGAAAAAAATAGTTAAACTGAACATCCGGATATATGGAGTTCTACTATATTAACGCTTCTACATGACTATTAAATTAAAACCAAATAAATAAATTCTGTCACATAGTATGTATTTGCCAGTCGCACAGAAGTAAATTATTTTGTCTTTAGAATCTTGGAAAAATCTCCGAGAAAGATCGCTTAAAATGCACTAATAATTTTTACGAAAATGTATGTTTTATTCTAGGGCTTAAAATCAGTAATTAAATAAACTTATTCCTACTTTTACTTTTCACTTTTCCTTTCAAATTGATCTTTGCCCGTATCTATATCGTATGATGTGAAATTAGTTATATTATTTTTCCATTTTTTAAATTTATTTACTTATTTTCAATTTTATTTTTATTGAATTTCGTGAGGGCATTTATAATTTTAACTTTGATAGTATTAAAAATCTTACACGTATTCTTAAATAATAAGAACAAAGTTCAAAATAGTTCACTTACATCATAAATCCTGACTAAAAATAACTTTCGTAAATTACAGCCAAACTATTCCTTATTAACTGTCTAGTTTTCATTATCAACAATCAATAACAAGGTTGAGCATAAAGAGAAACAGACTCACTCACTCAAGCACGGCTGAGTTTCCGAGACTAAAGATATATTTTCATCATGTCAGTAAACAAGGAAAAGTCTGAATTTTGACTAAGACCGCGAAAGCAGAAATGTCGTCCATATAATTAAAATGCTCAGCAGTGGAATCCAGTAGTTGGATTCAGAGATCTTTTAGAGAATAAGACTTTTCTGAGACTTATTTTAAAAAGAATAAGACAAAACTGACAACGTGATCTGATTGACCTTAAAAATTACTTAGTAGGACTAAGAACATTTTCTAGGCCCTTATTAATCAGAAATTTTTTATCTTACTTCTTCCAGAAAAAAAAATATGAACACTGCCTTTCAGAAATCCTGTACTAAAGCAGTTACGTAATTCTGTAATTCCGTAAAAAACAAAAGCAATAGAATCATAAATTTTGGATATTATTATAGTAATCAGGGAGATATTTAATGATTTTTATCATTGGTGTGCATTTTACGGACGTTTCCATCTCAAATGCGTATCTAAACTGATTTTGAAATCGTCTCATTGTGGGAGATTTTGAGTTCTGGAATGTTTATCACCTGGGATATTAGTGCGTTTTGATTTTGACAAACCCCATTGTCAAGAAGAAACCAAACGTTAGATTGCAGATGGGAATGGGTATGATAATGGACCATCTCGTAAACCATTTCTCGATATATTTCTTGCTTAGGTAACTTTTTACAATTTTAACCCAATGAGAAGACGTTCATTTTGCAGCCATTCGTCTTGCTGCCATCGACTATTTCAAAGCGAATAAAAATGTTTGAGGGTCATCATGAAATGTTATGACATTTGTTTCTCAAATTGCAAATAAATAGTGTTGTAATGCAATTTTAATTGAGCAGAAGTAAGCTGCGCGTTTTGTTTTGTTTTAACAAAACAAAACGAAATTCGAGGAAATAAGTTTAAATGAAATACAGAAAAAAATGCGTATAATTTAATATTCCGTACAAGAAAGTCATGTGGTGTACACATAAGATTTTTTTTATTCCATGTGAAATACCTTACAAAACAGAGAAGTCGTCTTATGAAATAATTTCTTTATTCGATGTGATAGATTAATTATAATTGAAAAGAGTACTAGTTTTGTAAGTCCGTAATATTTTGAAAAGACTTAAAAGATTTGCATGTCTAGAGCACGCAGAATACTTCTAATAGTGAATTTGTGTCTGAAATACCATATCTATCAAATCGTAACATATGAACTAAAATAATTGATATGCATCATTATAACTTCTGAAGATATGAAACAAATGAAAATTTGGTTACATTTGATTAATAGACACTGGTTAGTTAATTCAGAATAGTATTTTGCTACCCATTAATTTGGATATTTGCCGTATAGTAATTCAAAGTGAGACTCCTCCTTCAATTTTCAGTACCTATTTCTTCTTTCCTTAAAACCTCATTCATAAAAAGCCGTCTCGACAGCGACATTTCATATAATTTTAGCACCGTTCGACAAAACGAACAATGCTAAAATTATATGAAATTCCGCTGAAGGCTAAATTCCCATTATCACATATAATTCTACAAAATGATAGGCGCAGGAGGCGAGCAGTTCCAGTTAAGACTGCAAGCAGCAACATGGCGGTTAAGATTGTTACCGATCGTAGTGTAAATGTTTGGCGCGGTTACAGAGAAGTGATTCAATAAAAGCTTTTGTCGCTTCATCTCGTTAATCTGAGAAGATGGGTTGCCATGGTAACGATCCTCCTTCGCCGTTCGGATGCCAGCCTGCTTTTACAAATTTCCCTCTTTATCTCCGTAGATCTAGATATTCGACTGCATTTAAAAGTCAAACTAATGAAGGAAGATAGCAGAATGGAAAACTTCTCTCCGACCGTTTGCAACATAAGGAGAACTTAGTTCTTGCAAAGTGGCGAACGTTGAGAGAGAGAGAGATAATTTCCTAATTTCGAATTTAGAGAGCTGATGAAGGAGACAAACTCTGCTTCAATACGACGAATAAAGAGAGGATTATAAAAGATAAATTGCGAGAAAAGTAATTACTTAAGGAATTCTTAATTAACATGTTTATATTAAAGTAATCAATTTAGGAGTTTCTTTTTATAATATTCATAGTATTTACTTGTGATTTCCTTATTAATATGTATGTTAAACATTTATGAATTTATATATTAACATAAATATAATAAATACTTTATTATTTCTTTGAGAGGGTTCCAGATATTCATTTACATGCGAAATATATATAACATCGATATTCTTCATTTCACTAATTTAAAGTTACAGAGCCGTTGTCACAGAATGCTTAGAAATAGTTCAAAAATATTAGAGAATTAACTCCCCACTTGCAAATGTTGCGAATGATTTATTACGTAAATACTGAGACAACTTATTTCTTCAAATATAAAAAATAATTCTCAGAGTTCTAGCGCACATTATTCTGAATACATAAATTAAGAAGAAATACACCGGAAACAAGAATATATCATATTCATTAATACACACACCACGTAAAATTAAGGAAATGTAATTTAATATTACCATAGCAAATTTAACATACTTCTTGTAAAATATAATAATGTTTCTCTTATTTTATGTCAAACCGGAAGTTATTAGAAGATGTATTTCTAAAATGTTCTTCGTAATGTTTACTACGATGTTAAATACTATCAAAATGCTATAGTTTTCAATTCAAAACCAGGAATCATAACCACAAGAAAGGCACACATACACACCCCATACTCTATATTTAGAAGACACTTCTCTGTTTTGCATATTTAAAGAAATTTAATTATATTTAACAGAAAATGCCGCATAATATGTACATGCAAATTATTACACCAGTTACCTGCCATGGAATAACCTGATACCTGCCATGGCTACTTCCCGGAACTTCATAATAGCACATATTCTTATACACAAAATTTAGATATTTAATATTTAGGTACAGTTTTGAGACAGATGCTATGACAAAAGAAGATTTATTACTTTTTAAAGTTAATTTTGAATTCTTTATGGATTGCGTTCATTTAATACTGTATCATGTACTTTCTCTTTTCTTTCTGTATGGCTTAGTGGTGTAACGGTAGCACACTTGATGTGTATTCGAGAGGTCCAGGTTCGAGTCCCGGCGAGGGCATTGGTCATTTTTCACGTCTCTCACAATCAAAATCCGAATGACTTTACAGTGGCGCGCAAACTAAAAAAGGTGGCGGATGATGATTCATCACCACCAGGATTTGGT